AGCGAAACAATATGGTAAACTATTTTTTTGGTTTATTATATTATTGCGCTATTTCTAAAAGTAGAATTTTGGCTCTTATGATGCTTGTCGTGGCGGAATGGATCGGCTTGCAGGACGGTTAAGCGAGGACTTGTTCATAAAAACCAACAGTCTTCCCTCCAAAGCAAGCCTTTTTTTGGTTCTGATGAGGCAAGTTTCACCAAACCTCTTTAGCCAAATCCGTCTTCGAACTGAAGAGTAAAGTCCGACTAAACTTTTCGATGATGGTTAATACAGAAGCAACATACGGACAAAGGAAAATAGGTCCAATGGTACGTGGACATACCAATGTTATTTGAGGCCTCCAGTTCGATTCCTCGAGTCTTGTATATGTCCAATTGCAGCTGGAGCGTATCCTTGTCCTGTTTCAACTTCTGCTGTTCTCGTTCCAATTCTGAGCGGAATTTCTCCAAAGCCTGACGCTGGGCAATCACCTCTTCTTGAGCTCGATCCAATTGACTCCGTTGGTGTTGGTACTCGCGGTTCCATTCGCGCCTCTCTCGCGTCAACTGTTCGTAGCGCTGACGCAATTTCTCATTCTCAACGCGTACATCCGGCCCGGACGTCTTCAACCGAAGGCCCTGACCAAACAGACCCGTCGCCGTCGCCGTCGCCGTCGACGTAGCTGCCGCCGCATCGAGGGTGTCGGTGGTGAATTCCCCGAGATCCCCGAGACCCAGAGGAACACAAATGGCCGCCGACTGACCGGAGCTGACATTGGGAAGAAGACCGGCAGACGAAAGTGCCTCTTGGTTCAACCGGCAACTGGAGTGTCCCGAGAGGTTGTGGAAGACGGTGCAGGGCCCGGCACCACCGCCAACAGTAGCCCCATTGCCAGCGGTGCCGAGTCCGGATACTCCACCCACTGCGACAGCAGAAGGAATGACACCAGTCGCAGAGCTCAACCCGGTGGCCTGTGGTCCGACGGGAAAAGTGAGCAATTGCAGCACAGAGTCCGTGAGTCCGGCATGTTCGGCCACGCGTCGTACGTATCGTTTGAGGTCGGCCGTCTCCTTTAGCAGTAGAGCATTCTGAGCCTCAAGCTCGGTGTTTCGAGATCGCAACTCGGAGACCAGAACCTGCAATAGGGCAGCCAACAACAGCAGTAAAATTAGACATTAAGTCCAAATGTTTGCATGCCTATGAAAGCCTCATGCTGTGAATATGCCTTGTCGGTGTCTCTTCTGCACACACACGACCCGATTCCGAATCCCCTCTCGAGTGCAGATGACGCCTAGACGGAGTCGAATTTGACATCCGATGCGGACAACAAGGCCACTTCACTGGAGAAAATTCAACTATTAGTCTTCACACCACCTGAAATAATCTAAACTAACTAATTTAGTTTAGAGAAAATAGACTGTGAGATTAATAGTAACTCAAGAGTTATCATTTCAGTCACTCTATACTCACAATGGGACTCGAGCCCGGGTAGGGCGGAGTATAATCTCGACGTGTCATGCAACCTTGAGGGAGTAAAACCATTATTCAAAATTCGTTGATAGTCTCGAAAACCTACTTGAGCTGAATATAAGTAGCATAGCGGATTTTAATGGGAAGACACAAGTTTGCATCGTATACAATCTCACCAGAAATAATGTGATATGGGAGAGGTCTGGCCTTATTTTAAATTCACGTCTACCTTGATGCTTGAGATTTACCAGGCAATATCGAGTTTCACACTTGGCCATACTCCCTAAAGGCTATCTCATCCTGACTGGGGTGGGCTGCAGTTTCTACCTTGTCTCATCGTCTCTCATCCGCCACCCCAACGGGATTCGAACTCGGATTGTAAGTGTCGTGGTCACTTCACCACCCCAATCCACTCCACACCCACGGATGTAAGCACAAGCACGTCTCATCCAAATCACGATACTTGCAAATAGAGCTAGAATCCCGATGGGGCTGTTGATGAGACCGGAACGAGTTCGGAACTGCAGATTAATCCAGTATAGCCCAGAAAAAAGATTAGTTTTGAAGGCATCTTAAAGTCGGATTATATGACTAGGCCTGAGCTGACAAAGTTCTCATGCAAGAATTACTAAGAATTTCGAAACTAACTCATACCAAGTATAAATGAAGTTTATTGTTATCGTGAGTCAATGTAAGAAATCAAGCGTCCCATCGTCTTAGGCGACCTAAGCTGAATTGACTATTTACTGAAGCTAAAAGGCTTGATTTTCCTGGCGGGCACGAAACCATATTTCTTCTCAAGAGTGCTTCACGGTTTCTGGCACAGCAAAAGCGTATACGCATCCCTAAGAGGATCTACCGGCCCCAGTGGTACATTTCGGTTCATTATTAAAGGCGAGTAGAAGGGATTTGTAAATTTACTTAAACGAAAAACCTCATAACATTGTCTCGTGATCATGATGAATCCGTGTTGAGCCCTTGTTGATTTGGTTCTGTAATAAATCCACTTAGCACTAAGACAAGTATGGCATACGCATTCGTCGGGGTCGTAGGACGGTGTGCTTGTTGAGTACTTGTTTGCACAAATCAACAATCACAACTGCAACAACGCCAATAACAATCTATTAAGGAAGCCTTAAATCCCTACATTTCTTCATATCAGACTTTAGTCAACTTAGTATACATGAAGAAAAGATGGGCTTCGAAGAATCTCTTCGTAGGCATAAATATGGTCTCTTCCACATGAGAAAGCCTTCCAAAGTCATCTGCACTCCAGCAATCTATCCTTGTATGGGGCCGTATTGTATACTTTTTCTAAGGAAATTGATCTATTGTTTGCAGTCTGGAATTTTGTCAAAAATGCTGCGTTGTTTTTGGGGAAAGGATATCTAATAAAAATGCACACTTTTTTCTGCATAATAGATATGCAGACCGAGATGGTGTGGCTTTAAGTTTGATCACAGTCTCCTTTAGCTGTGTCGCTGATTTGACCTTGTATTCGCGATTTGCCCGAGGTGACAGGGAAATCTTGTGGAATACGTCCAATTATACGTCCTTTGCCATGGTATTCAAGATGATCTCCAGAATCGGCCCGTTGGCTAGGAATTCTCCATAAGGTCACTCTATCGCGTTAAACAGGTTGCAAAGACCAGGTCAAACCACACTTCTTAATGAAGTTGACTAAATGTGTCTCAACTCTGAATTTTGAAGGAAAAGTTGGTTGGAAGCAATTCACGAATTGGTGTCCCGGGAAAACGAAGAAGGATTGATCGTTGTGAAGTGAAGGTCGTTGGATTGTGCGAAAATGGCCTCGGCTCCCAGTCTTGAGAACCATTCACGCATTACTTCCAACAAACTTTTACCATATCACATTTCTATGTAATGTGAAATTCACAGGAAGCATGAGGCCTCGTCATATGAATGTGGGAAAATTCAAGTAGCAGTCCTTCATCACCTCAAGCGAAATAGAGTGAATAAAGTTCTTATCTCAAATATACGGGTAGTTTATAAAATCTAGTTATGAAAAACGGTAATATAATCGATTGTC